CATAGCATCCGTCAGGCGGATGGGAAAGGAAATAAAATGTCACCAACATTCAATCCAGCTAGCCACAACAGAACACATAGACATACATTCTTTCAAACATTATGGGGTTGACTTACCAAAGGAAAGTAGACTGTTCACTTTGCAAAAGCAAGTTGCATTTTGCAAGCAAATGTTCCCCAAAACTTAGTGAATGAGTTGAAGTTCTTCTGACTTGCATTACTTATCCAATCATGAAAAAAAAAAAAAAAAACAAAAAAAAAAAAAAAAAAAAACTATTTTTGCTTGCCCATTACACGATTTGGTGTTCTTTGCAAAAGGGAAACTGCACTACATTCACCAGGCTCTGAGGCAAATTCCCTTGCATAGTGAACAGCCTATTTGCCTTTAGTAAATCAACCCCCTAGATTTGGTTTAGAATGCAAACTACATACACTCATCTCAAGCTTGTCGATTCTCAATGGTGCAAGATACAGAAATACTGAGGCTGACAGCTCAATGTGTTATAGAGGTATTGCCAAACATTACAAAAAAAAACAAAACAAAACAAAAAAAAAAAAAACCACACACGTACATGGTAGGTTAGAATCTAATGGTTAAAGTGGCTGTAAAGGCAGAAGGTTTCTTACTGTATTCTATGCAGTAAGGTAAAAAAAAACCTTCTACATGCAGCTTCCCTGGTAGACCCCCTTCCCCCCCACCAATACTCACCTGAGGCCCGATTTTGATCCAGCAAAGTGCACAACAGGTAAGGCTCTCTCACTCCCATTAGCACAGATTCAGTAGCAGGAGCCATTGGTTCCTGCTGCTGTCAGAGCCAGTAAGAAGGGAGGGGCAGAGCCAAGCCCTGTTGTGTGCGTCTTATGGACACACAGCAGGGCTTGAGAGTTAGCACACACAGTGGCTCCCAAAAGAAGCAGCTTGCTTTGGGGGCACTTGGCGGAGGAGTGGAGCCAGCACCGCTGACGGGGGGGGGGGGGGGGGGGGGGGGAGCTGAGAAGAGGACTGGGGCTGCTGAGAAGAGACTGGGGGGGATTAGGGCTGCTCTGTGCAAAACCATTGCACAAAGCAGGCAAGTATGACAGCCTTGCAATTTATCTGGGAAAAAAAAACCCCACACACACCACACAAAGCCTTACAATCACTTTAAAGTGAAGCAACTTATGATCTCAAAAAGGAACGTGTCAACAAATAAAACCTTACAAAAAAGAAGATCTGAACATGTTCTTACTGTTCAGTGCACAAAATCTTTAATGAACAGCTCAAGATAGCTAGATAATCACTTGGCGAAGAGCCGCTTTCACACCGTGTTCTGTCACATTACAGACAAGAACTGGGGTCTTGGCATATCTGCGTTTGTAGTCCTAGAACTGCCCAAGTGTACAGAATGAGTGGACAGATAGCACGAGATCTGCATATGTGCCACCATTCTGTATTACCCTTAATACAGAAACATGCCACACACTGCCCAGGACTCTCCCTAAACAGACCAGACTCTTTTCAAACAAAATGTATTGATCCTTTATTTCCCCCCTTCAGTGTTCTATAACTTTGTAAAATATACAATGTGAACCTTGTACTGCAAACATTTGCTAGCCAATCATTTTTCCATGAACAATTCAAATTTATGTTTTTTGGGGGTTTTTTTGTAATCTGCATATTTATTTAGAACAGGGACTGCCTGCACATGAATACATGGAACACCTGTGAATCCCTGTGCAGGTAAACACAGCCCTCACCTTGATACACTCCCTATGCATGAGGCCTTAAATTTCCTTTACAGCAAGGAGCCACTCGGTTGTGCTCCAGTGGATCATGTGCCAACAAGGAGCATACTGACAGAAGGGAAGAGAACAGATAAGCGCACCAGTCTGCCGCACCTCCTTCCCTGCCCAATCGTAACCTGAAGGCAAGGAAAAAAGCAGTTCTATTTAACTGCAGTCAGGTCAGCAGGCTGGTAGCACGGTGTAAACGTCAGAACTAAATGGACCAAAATACAATCTTTGGCAAGTAAAATAACGCGAATATTATTATTATACAGTATTTATATAGCGCCAAAGGGTTTGTACAAAGGCAGGGGGACAAGACATGAGACAAGACAGAGTGCGATACATGAGGGGTTCGAGGGCCCTGCTCTTTCAACCTTACAATCTAGAATATTTTTCAGCTGTGTATTGAATGGTGTGCTGCTCAAAGCTCAGCTTTTAAATGTAATCCCATTCAAGTGTGCAGTATGACGAGGCCAGATTGCACTCCGTAGGCTGCTAATGACGGCTTAGTATGAATATAGATGTCAATGTACAGCAGAACCAGTGCAATTAACAAACACAACAAGCCTGGATACCAGCAGGAGCCAGTAAACAGAACTACTATATTATAACTGGCTGTTAAAATCAAACTGGTTATCAAAAGTGATACACAAATGTCTATATTCATCGGGAAGGGTGCCCACAGCTAGAACTCCATGTAGTTGTCTGCTCAGCACCAGTCTGCTTCAAGTGGCAGCAGGAGAGTGTCCTAAACCACATCAGAGTTTCACACATTTGGTTTGTTTTTTACTTAGACCTATTGTAATGCCCACCCAAAGTGCTGCTAGCTTTAGATAGTAATACTCTGCAATATTGTCAGAAAGTATTTTTTTTTGGTTTTTATATAAATAGGTTTCCCCTGGACCTCCAGTTGCAGCCACCTAGACAATTACGTCATCAGCCTGACTTGGGATAGCCATGTTATTGATCAGGAGTCTTCTAAAGCTTCTCAAAGTGTGCCTGGCAGTGTTATTACTGCACAGACACGAGACCAGAAGGTGCATGCTGGGTAGCCAGATGTGCAGAAACTAACACACTCCGACTTCAGCTGCCCACAGCTACCATGGCCAGAATCCAAGCAGAATAAAAAAAAAAAAAAAACAAAATGATTTGGTAAGTAAATTGGAGGATGAAAATGTGCAGAAATATCCAATATGGATGATGTCATTTACAACCATGATATTATAATATGGCTCATCAGACTGTAGCGCCTCTTTACCTCTACTTTCACACTGATCCGTTTTGGATGCGGTGTGCTTTTCAAAGTCCTGCTTGCTGCAAAACAAAACAAAAAAAAAAAATGCACCTTCCCACTGAAATCAATGGAAACAGTGGCAAAAACGCATCACAAACACACCTGCGATGCATTTTTGGTGCAGTTTTTGAGTCACACATGTTAAAATATGCTGCAAACTTGGTAAAGACGCAGAAAAAAAAAAACAAACAAAAAAAAAAAAAACAACAAACACCATATGCATTTTTTTCCGTGGATCAGTGTGAAAGTAGCCTATGTCCTTGTTTTAGGGTTCTGAGGTTCTGAACTGTGGCTAGTCCATGGCAGTGAAAGGCGTGTAATCAGCTCTCGTTCAGTTGATGCTACTGACAGTCACCACTCTCTGCTCAGAGCGGCTGTGACAACTCAGTGATCAGGGGTCATGCGAGTTTCACCTTTAGAGCCAGTGGGGGGACCAATGCTGCATCCACCCAAGTATGCTAGGGGGGGGAAAAATAAATTAAAAAGCCATACGTCTTTTTTAAAGTGTTACTAAACCCACAAGTCTGTATATAAAGTAAAGCATGCTTGTTATACTCACTGTGGAACATAAGGGGTTAATCAGCTGCACTGTGTAAAAAAGATGTCTGATCCTGTCTTCTCTGATACTCCCCTTCTACTGTCCCAAATCCATCTGCTGATAGTACAGAGCCTTGGGGGCAAGCTCACATGCTCAGAGGTTAGAGAGGTGTTTTTTTTTTCCCTTTCTTGGGAGGGTGAAACAAGTGATCACCAGAGAGCAATCAGCACTGTCCAGACAAAGGCTCAGAGGTCCTGCAGGGGATAATGAAAACTCCTCCTACAAGCTTTAACCAGGGCTCAGCTGGACACTGATAGAAGTCACAAGATTGCTCTAACTGATGAGGGGGGAAAAAAAAAAAAAAAAAAGAAAAAAGGGTATTTAGCAGTTTATATTTACCAAAATAATTGCATTTCTATGTTGTGTACGACCAGATATAGTGAATGCAAGGTCCTGGTTTTTAACAATTTAATGTTGCAAATAAAGGAAAACCATCTCCACATAAAATAGAGAGCTAACTTTCCTTTTTTTTTATGGAACAAAATGCCACTCAGGTACTTGTATTACGCCAATGCCTGGTCTAAACTGTCAACTGTAAAATTTGCATTGAATTGTTGCTTTTGGCCTTCTACACAAGTCAATGTGAGTGCACAGCAAACATCTTAAGCAGAAACCATTTTTCCCTAAAAGCATGCTGTGTTTGACTTGCGTGCACATGTACACTAACCCCTCCAGACACCCATCTCTTGGCAATGCATCGGATACCATTACTGATACCTCCTATGGCTTAATAACTGGAGACGGGTCACTGCTACCGATGACACTGTCAAAACACAACTGACAAAAGCCAGCACTGCAAGATCAGATGTTTCAATATGGTCACATGGCAAAGATATGTACCAATATTTTAACCCACTTGCCCTCCAGAGGATTTACCCCCCCCCCCTTCCTGACCAGGCCATTTTTTGCGTTACTTTGACAATTGCGCGGTCATGAAACGCTACACCCAAATGAAATTTAAGTTTTTTTACACACACACACCAACCAACAAATAGAGCTATGAGTAGTATTTGATCGCATGTGCATTTATTTTTTGCTCTATATAAAAAAAAAAAAAAAAAAAAAAAAAAAAAAAGAAGAAAAAGAAAAGAATTCTGATTAAAAAAAAATGTTTAGACTTTTTTGCTATTAAACATGTCCAATAAATTTTTTTTTTTTTAAATCAAATTTAGGCAAAAATTTAGGGTATGTATTTTGCTACTTGTCTTTGCTAAAAAAAAAAAAAAAAAAAAAAAAAAAATCCCTGATACGTGTAAACTAATCGGTTTATGTGAAAGTTTACAAAATGGTGCCACACACACACGAAATTATTTTTTATTTTTAACTAGTAATGGAGGCGGTCAGCGACTTTTAGCGGGACTGCAGCAGACATTCTGACACTGAGGGGGACCAACTTTGTGTCACTGACATCCCCAGTGACACAAATACAGTGATCAGTACTAATAAAAAGCACTGACACTGTACTAATGGCACTGGGCAGGAAGGGGTTAACATGTGGGGCAATCAAAGGGTTAACTTTGCGGTTTCGCATTATGTACTGTGTGTACTTTCAACTGTAAGCACACTGCTTTGTATGGCTATGCAATGCAGAGTCTGCATCTTTGAAGAAGACTATGATAGATATTTATGCAGAAAAATGCTCAATCGCATGCATCAAAGCACTCCACTGCATGGCTAGCTAGTAAAGGCATGAACGATAAAAGAATAATCATTACATGGTCCCCTTCCTCACCTGACCTAAACCTTATTGAGAACTTGTGGCCCCTTCTTAAGCAGGAGATTTACAGTGAAGGAAAGCAATACACAGTCCTGAACAGTGTCTGGGAAGCTGTGGTTGCTGCTGCACAAAAGTAGATAGTTAACAGATCAAGAAACTGACAGACTCCATCAATGGAAGGCTTAGGACTGTTACTGAAAGGAAGAGAGGCTATATTGGTCACGGATTTTTTTTTTTTTTTCATTTATTTAGTTTTAAAGTGTCAGAAAATGTTTGTAATTTTTGAATAATTATTCTCATTTTAACAGATGAAAAACAAAAACAAGTGAGATGGGAAAATTTGTTTTTTTTTTAGCTGCAGAATAATTCTGTGCACAGAAATTCTCCTAAGAAAGCCAAAACCTCACTTTTACTTTCTTAAAATATTCAATGAGGTTTAACATTTTGGATTGACCAAGAGCACTGTACTTGTGCAATAATGGAATTAATCCTCAAAAAACAACTTGCCCAGTGTATATGTGAAAATGAAGACATTGAAATACAAAGGATTTGTTCACAGTTCATATGTGACAATGAATATGTAAATACAAAAAATAAAATATGGTGATGAATCAAAAAATATCCCTCAAAGTCAAAAAAAAGGGGGGGGGGAAAGAAAGACATCATAACACACACACACACACAAACACACACACAAACAAACAAAGCCTGGAAACCTGGGATGGATAATTCAGCCTGCTGCTTTGGAAGCTTTTTTATTTACCTGCTTTATGCATTTTTTTTTTTTTTGTGCTTGCTGCCCATGAAAATGTTTATTATTGTGTAATGCCATTAGCGATTGTGGTTTGGCATTTCTGGCATTTTTGTAAATAAATACGATTTTTACATATTACATTATGGACATGCATTTTCAATACTGACAGAGAAATCCCAATGGTGGACGCTTCATATACCTGGAAAATCGTGGTTATAGGATGCATCTAAAAGTTTGTGACCATTTATAATCAAATGGTCCTCAACTGGTAAGAGGGTCCTTAGTGGTGTCACTTCATGGTAGATGGGCACTTTTTCTAACAGGAAGCTGAAGTGTGGGGGCACTCTTCAGAACACATTGATTGTGATTTTTGAGTTTGTTTTTTCACTTTTGGGGACTTTGATAAAAAGGATTTTTTTTTTTCTTATCACATCTCATTTTTAATAAATATTCATCATATGGATTGAACCAAATTCTTTGTATTTACAGGCGTCTTCATTTTCACGTATAGGATGTTATACATTGATATTTATGTGATTTAGCACTGCTTTTTGTTTTATGTACGTTTTAGCTATTGGTATCACAATTGCATAGTGGCTGCTTTATCTTAATTAACACACCAGCACAGATTTAGTTATGATTTTTTATAACTTTTTAAAAGGGGGCCTACATGTCCCTAAGCCATTAGTACCCATGCTGGCCAATTACACGCTGCAAAGGGATTGAATACTCTGATCTACAGAGTGCATTTTCTAAGTTCAGAAACTGCAGCAAAAGCCCATCTCCAGGAAGAGAAATGCACCCATGCAGTGCAAGGGTTAAATGTTCATTTAGGTCTAGGGTCAGCTAAAAGCACTCCTACCAATCCTCTGCTCCCCTGGCAGCTGTTCTCTACTCTCCAACAGGGGACTATCCTTCGGAGTTCTCACATCCAATGCATGGCTATGGGCTCTACACTGCTCTTGATGCCAGAGGTCCTGCTACCACTGGAGCATATGGAAGAGGAGGCTGCAGGTCTAGTTTTTACAGGCTAGAGGAAGCCTGCGGGAGTGAAGGATCAAGTAAAACCGCTTGCAGCCCCCTAGACCTAAACAAGTGTTTAACCCTAGCATTTCAAAAGAGAATACCAACTGCAAGGGAGCATTTTCCCCCATTCTCTAGAGTTCAGCTTTAAGACAAAAAATAATAAAATTAGCCTCTTTATGAACAACTGACAAATTCACTTTATGAATAAAACCAAGAAAAATATTTTGTGGAGCACCAGCTTTAATTGAGACAAGAACTAGACACTTGCAGGATTAAACTATGGCATAGCAGGTACCTAAGTGGTGTGTTATTAAATATTTTTTTAATATTAGACAATTGTCTTGTTTCTTTGAGGAGTTTGTTTGGATTTGGTAAATACATACAGTAGATCTGAGTTTTGTTTTTTTTTTTTTTTTTTTTTACAAACTTGTGTTTTATCAGAACCTTTGCCTCTCTAATGTACAAGACCTTCCTTATAACAATTCATGTTTTTTGTGTCCACATTTCTCTATAACTAAACGGGATTTATTTTTGTACTGAGTCGGCAGACAATCCCACTTTAAAGGTGGCAGTAAACTCTGCTTTTCAAGTTGTAACTACAGGTAAGCCTATAGTATGGCTTCCCTATAGGTGCTGTAAATATCTCCTAAACTTGCAGTGTTACGCTGGATGCAGCCAGTGCTGTCACTGGCACATGCACTGACAGTACACCTGTAGGAGTGAAGTCGGCACTGCATGGCCTTTTAACCGCCTCCCGCTCGCAATATAAAAAGGTAATGACGGACGGGCGGCGGTTCTCTCATTCTGGGGAGGGCGCCATAGGACGTCCTCCCACTCTAACTGCACAAGAGCGCCCTCGGGGGCACGTGGCGATTGGTGGTGCACTGTGTCCCTGGGACCCAGCGGATCACTGATCACTGTAAAGAGCAGATAACATCGGCTTTGTCATGTGATCAGCTGTGTCCAATCACAGCTGTCACATGTAAATAGGAAATACTGGTTATTAGCAGCCCTCTCCACCCGCTGACAGCTCGTGAGGAGAGGAGAGCCTGTAATCAGCATTCCTCTGAGGGAACATCTACACTGATCATCAGGGCACTGATCAGTGTAGGCCCATCAGTGCCAACTGTCAGTGCCCATCAATGCCACATACCAGTGCCCGTCAGTGCTGCCTACCAGTGAAATATATGAGTGATGCCTGCCAGTGCCCACAAGTGATGCCTGCCAGTGCCCACCACTGCAGCCTCATTAAAAACACATCAGTGAAGCAGAAAAATTACTTCTTTACAAAATTTATTTTAAAACTTTTTTTTTTTTCTTCCCCATTTTTATTTTTTCAGTTTAGTAAAAAATAAAAAACCCAGTGGTGATTAAAAACCACCAAAAGAAAGTTCTGTCAAAAAAAAAAAAAAAAAAATATTATATTTATTTATATTAATATATGAAGGAAGGGGGTAAAAGTGGCCAGTAGGCAAGGGGTTAAAAGGATCAGTACCATCGATCCTGGAAGGAAGACCAGGGGAGGATGGAAGCCCTGTAAGCAGTGACAGGGCACCACTACAGGGCTTCCTTCTAAGGTAAGTAATTCATAGTGTACTAGTATTCAATGCATACTAGCACTTTATGTCACTGACTGAAAGGCAGCAGCTTACTATCAATTTGAAGTGAAACTACACTGCATCTGAGCACCACAAACAAAAAATGCCATTTAATTCATTCTTAATATTCAAATGCAAACTCCCCCATCCATCCATGTTTAAATGCTTTATTTTGCTGATAAAATCACTTTTAAAAAAAACACCCCCTGGCATTTCTGCTTATGTCCATCTTGAGTAAGGGCAGATTATTAACATAGCATTTACTTCCTGGAATACATCTGCCCTTATCTCAGGCAGGCATGCATGCAGCAGGGTAAGCTTAACTGAGAAAACCCTTGCTACCCTCCTGAAGACTCCTGGGATGTATGACATTTGCCTAAACATGGAAACCTGAAAGTAACTGAACAAATGTAAAAAAAAAAAAAAAAAAAAAAAAAAAAAGTTGAAAAACAAGTAAATGATATACTTTCCCATCTATTTACTAATGCTAGCAGTATAAGGATTAAAAATAGTCAATGTTGGTAAAGGGGTGAAGTTCTGCTTTTAGCTTTGGGACTCCCTGCTAGTGACAGCAAAGTGATGCAATGATAGTGCAAGCTTAATCTCCATCATTTGATACACCTTGGGCTCCATGCACCCTGGGCTTACAAACGAAAAGAAAAACAAAACATTTTTGTACACAGTTTAGGAAAAGTTAGAGCTTTTTCTGCCAGAATGCAAAACCAGAAGGGTTTTCTTTTCCTGCCTCTAAACGTTGAGCTTAAAATATGCCTATGATTGTCCTACTATGCATGGACACGTACGGGAAGCAGATATTCTGACAGGTCTGCAGGAGACCTGCATGGCAGCAGCGATCTACCAATTGCTGGTGCAATGCTTTCCAGGCTTCTGTAGGCAAAAAAATTTCCATTTATTATTTTTGTCCAAAAGGTGAACTTATCCTTTAAGACCAACTGCTGCTCCACTCTGTGCTAGAGAAAGGCCAGCAGAAGGCCAAAATGGAGAACAAACGGTGGTGTAAGCCCTAGGAATTAGCTCCACACACAATAAGTCACCCAAGTACGGTAAGTCTTACAGCTGTGCCCTTTTAACGGCTTCCTATCCGGCCTATAGCAGATTGATGGCCAGATGGGACACTCCTCCTTGTGACTGGGCGTCCACGGGACACAGCCAATGACATATCACTACACCAGCCCGTTGCCAGTGTCATGTCATCAACCACAGCAGATCAGATGTCAATTGTATACAATGGATTGCTTCCTGTCATGCCATGCATTGTATACAATTATGTTGCTAGCTGTGACTGGTCAAAGCAGTCACATGATACAGACAGGGCCAATCACAGCACATCTGTATCATGTGATGAGCTTTGCCCAATCACAGCTAATCATAAAAGACTGAATAAATCAGTTTCATTCAGTAACGATTGTAAATATCAATGAAATACACTAGTATTAGCAATCATAATGTGTTAAAAAAGTAAAATAAAAAAACTAATAAAAAAATTGAAATTTGAAAAAAAATAAAAATGTATTTTTTTTTTTATATACTGTCACCAGTCAGTGTCTCTGATCACCACCACACCAGTTTATATAAATATAATAACGCTGCACTGGCCTGGTGACAATATGTAAAATAAAAAAAAAAATATTGTAACAAAAAATTACAACCTCCAAAAAAACCTCACCACGCCTCTTACTAAAAACCTTGAAATATTTTCCAAAAATGGGTGATGGGGGGGGGGGGGGGGGGGGGCGGGGGGGTATTTGTACTATCCTGGCGATTTTGGCCTTCAAGAATGAGACGGGCCGTCAGTACAGCAGGATTGATCCACTGTCAGATATATATATATATATATATATTATATATATATATATATATATATATATATATACATCCATACACATACACACACACACACCTTAGTTTGTGGACTCTATAAAACTTTCCTACAGACAAATATACACTAATTTGGGGTATTTTCACCAAAGAAAATGTAGCAGAACACATTTTGACCTAAATTTATGAAGGAATGTTATTTATTTGCAAAATGTTATAATAGAAACTAAGAAAAATGCTTTGTTTTTTCAAAAAAGGTTCCAGGTTTTGTTTTATTTAGCAAAAAAAAAAAAAAAAAAAACTCTAATTTGTGTGAAAAAAAAAAAAAAAGAATGAATAAATTTCATATGGGTACAGTGTTGAATGACCGCAAAATTGTCAGTGTGACAGCGCTGAAAGCTGAAAATTGGCCTGGGCAGACAGGGGTGTAATAAAGGTAGCAAGCATCCATTACCAAATGAACAAGATCCACATACCATGGCTATTAAAGCCAGTCTGGAGCCAACAGGATCACCGTCGCTTCAATCCAGCACAGCAGCCATTGCAAAGTTTTACCAATAGGCAAGCATATGGCAGAATGTAGCAATCGCAGTTGGCAAATTTGTGGAAATACTTCCAGCGCCCCCTTTCCCGGATCCAGACCTTTTAAACAGAGAGTTCTCTTCCCTAGTTTTCTATCCCTAGTATGTGTATCTGTGGGTCAAAGCTAGCCTTTCTGCCCAACTCAGAATGTTATATATACTTCCAGCGCTGCCATCATTCTCTAGATCATGAAAAATATAGCAATGCACGGTCTCATCCTGCTCTGCACAGCCTCCGTTCTCTCACCAAGCAAACTGGAAAGACACCAGCAGTCACTTCCAGTTCATGTGTATATATTCTGGGAGTGTCTGGTACAGACGTCACATCTGGAGTGCAGCGTGGAACAGCAGGAAAGTGAGTGGAGTCCAAACTGGAACGGAGAAACTAGCAGATGGCACATGTGATGTGCAACATGGGAAAGCTACAGCAGAAGGTGAGCGGGGAACAGAGAAATGACTCAGCGGCAGAGGATCAGCAGAGTTGGGGGACTGGAGCAGGAGAAACTAGCAATGTCACATGTGGTGTGCAGTGTTGCAGCATTATAGCGGGAGGCGAGTGGGGACCAGAGAGAGAGGAGGAACGGCAAACCAGAGGATCAGCAGAGCTGGGGGTTACTGAGTGGGGGTGGGAATCAGCAAAGATGGGAGTAGCACCGAGTGTGGGATCAGCAAAGCTGAGGGTACCACTGAGCAAGAGTTCTGGTAAAGGAGTGTACTAATAAGCTGGGAATCTGCTGAATAAGTGTACCAATGAGCTGGGGATCTGCTGATCAGAGGTACTAATGAGCTGGGGATCTGTTGAGTGGGGGTACTACTGAGCTGAGGTTCTACTGGGCTCCTTTAACCTCTTCACTCTGGCCACACACAAATGTGCAGCCTCCCGGCGTCTGGGCCTCAATGCTGAGCGGCCCGCAACATTTGCGTGCAATTAACAAAAAACACATGTGCTGAGAGTGCACACCCTGCGCGCTCCCAGCACACGTCCAGTACTCACGAAAAGGTCCCGGTCTGCTCCTTCGATCGGGACCTTTCCCGATCATGTGACCACCGTGATGACGCGCCACGGCAGTCACATGATCCCTAAACCCCGCCCCACCTCCTGGCTTCTGAAACTCTTAAAGGGCCGGAAGGCGCCGGCGGGAAGGGGTTAAAGCAAACTGAAAATCAACACAAACAGCATTTGCAAAGCTTCATTAAAGCATCAAAAACACACAAAAAAACAAGTTGAAGCGGTAGGCGTTTTAATATGTTAAAGCTGAAGTGTAAATGAGCTCTTACTGTTTCTCAGGGGTTCTGGGCTTCAGAAAGATGAGACTCCAGCGCAAAAAAAAAAAAAAAAAAAAAAACCACCAAAACAATGCTGGAGGCAGTTTACAGTACACACTAATTTTGGTAGTATAATTAAGGTAGAATGTAAGTTCCTTGCTAAAGAACACTTATCAAGTTATGGGTAAAAATCCACTTTAAGGCTAGGTCCATATCTGTGCGGGTGGTGCCGCTGCGGATCTGCACGAAAATCCGTGCAGCTGCACCACCCGCACAGAGAAATGCAGACCCGCGGGTGGGTGCCATTTGTTCTTATGGCATGCCGCCCGCACTGGAAAACACAACCGTATTTGCCGAGGTTCTTGTGCGCTCTTCTTCCCTGCGTGTCACAGGCATGGGAGTCCATTCAAATGAATGGGCTCTCGTGCCTGTGCAAAATGCAGCCTGCACAGCCGCATATATGTGAACCGGGGCTAAGAAGGCAACTGGCCATGTAACAGGTCTTGTGTAGTTTGGTTCTACAGAATGACACCAGCACTGGTTGACTGTGGTGGTGCCGATGTCAGTTTCTGGCTATTCCTTTCCCTGACTATTCCCTCTTATGGGTACACTATACTATTAAGCAAACAACTGGCCATTGCGCTTATAATACATGTGGTCCTGAATGCTTTGCTATTGTGCAGGCCTGTGAGTTGAACAAAACTACACTGCTGAATAATAAATTTACAGAGAACATTAAGGCTGGCCATACATTATACAATTTTCTTGAGATTTTTGGTTTAGATTTACCAAAAACCATATAATAGGAGGTCAAACCTAACAACACTTTCAGTTGTATCCAATTAGGCAGGCTCTTGCACTACATAGTCGAAGGTAAATCTAAAGGAAATTGGGCAGAAAATTGTATAGTGTATGGCCAGCCTAACAGATTTCATTATCTTTACTTGCAATAAATCATCAATCATTCAGACACAAACAAGCTGCACTACCAGTTTTTTCGTAATATCTATTAAGCTTTACTGCAAGTAATGCAAACTCACAAAGCCAAATTGTGGCACACTGCTCATCCCATCGTCGTCCCACTCCTTCCACTTTTTCTCCAACAGAGGATTAGGGATGATGATTGTGTACTGAAGTAAGGTGCGGGAAATTATGAAGCTCTCTACAATTAACCCTCATTTCACTACATGGTGGTACTGATCTATGTCTCACATATGAACAACACAAATGTAAAAATACATGACCCCCGCTAAAACTAACATTTGTTTGCCCACTTTCCTGCCACCCTATAGCAGAAATACTGCTACAGGGCAGCAGGGATGCGCAAAATCATATATATATATATATATATATATATATATATATATATATATATATATATATATATATATATATATATATATATACATATACACACACACACATATATACACACACACATATATACACATACACATATATACACATACACACACACACACGTGATTTAGCATCTCCGGGTAGGGGACGCACGTGCCCTACCCGTGCGGCTATTCGTGACCTCGGCTGTCAATTGCCAGGTCAGGGCCGGTGATTACTTGCCGACACCTGGTGATCACCGAGTATTACCGACAGGGGAGAGAACTCTAAACAATACAGTTCTCTCCTGTTCGCTCCTGCACACTGCTTTGTATTGCTCTGCATAGAGTCATACAAAGCAGTGTGCTTACAGTGGAAAGCACAGACACAGTAAAACAAACACCGCTAACCCTTTGATCGCCCCACAAGTTAACCCCTTCCTGCCCAGTGCCATTAGTACGGTGTCCGTGCTTTTTATTAGCACTGATCCCTGTATTGGTGTCACTGGGGATGTCAGTGACACCAAGTCAGTTCCCCCCAGTGTCAGAATGCCCGCTGCAGTCCCGCTATTAGTCGCTGATCGCTTCCATTACTAGAAAAAAAAAAAAAAAAAAAAAGTGTTTTTAAATTCCAGTATATATACGCCATTTGTAAATGCTATAACCTTCACATAAACCAATTAATTTACACGTATTGGGATTTTTTTTTTTAGCAAAGACAATGCAGAATACATTTTGCCCTAAATTTATGAGGAAATTAGATTTTTTTTTTTTTACTGGACATGTTTAATAGCCGAAAGTCAGAGATTGTTTTTTTTTCTTCTCAAAATTGTCATTTTTTTTTTTGTTTATAGCACAATTAAAAAAAAAAAAAAAAAAAAAAAAAAAAAAAAAAAAACGCAGAGGCAATCAAATACCACCAAAAGAAAGCTCTATTTTGTGGGGGGGGGGAGGATGTCATTTTTCATTTGGGTGCAGTGTTGCATGATGGCGCAATTGTCATTAAAAATAGCATAGCGTCATAATGCAAACAAATGGCCTGGTCAGGAGGGGGGGGGGGGGGGGGATAAATCCTCTGGAGGGCAAGTGGTTAATATAAAATTATTTTCAAACTATGAAATAACATTTCACACTTTGAAAACAAGAAAAAATGTGTATCCCAAATGCTCACCTAGTAGAAATGGCTGTTCTTAGATTACATTAAAAAAGGGAAGGAAGGGAGGTCAGGTTGGAGAGGACAGAAAAAAATGTACGTTTAAATGTTTATATGTTCACCAATTATTTAGGATGTAAATGCACATGAGTGGGTATGGTTTCTTATAGCTTAGCACCACCTACAAGGAAACAAATTCTGCTGGTGATGGAGGGAAGAGGCTGCATGTAATGGGTCAGTGACAGAAGAAAAGCACTCAGTCAGTGCCCACAGAAACACCCTCATGCCATCACTACATGTTCAATGATTCATGGGACTTCTAGTTCTGTTAGGTGAATACACAATCATCACAGAACCCTCTGTGCTTGGACAGTGCAAGCTATAAGCTACATGTGATGTCAGAGCTAGGTTTTTTGGAAATGGATTGAAAATAAACAAATAAGGGTTATGAGCTCAGCTGAAGCAGATGTAGTGACAAATGCATTAGTAGTTTCAACCCAGAGTTCAGCTGTGAAAAAAAAAAAAAAAAAAAAAAAAAAAGGGACACAGAGGGCAGTAAAAACATGCAGCTGAGCTGTCTTTAGTGCCCCCTACCTTATACTGCAAAAGGCAGTAAAGGGAGGAACACATTCCATGGCTGTGATGCTTTGCATATTGGTGTGGCAAAAATAATTCCCCTGTCACATTCAGCAGGAATGCCAACATGATGCAACTCATTCAAATGAATGGGGGGGCATCCTGCAACCGTGCTTGATGCACAAGGTTGTTGTGGCACACGTTAGTGCAGAGTTCAACTGGTTAAAGCAGGCGTTAGGAAGCTGGACTGCTGTCAGAATTCATTGTCCTGATAGCCAACAATCAGATTCTAATCTATCTTGGAAATTTGAATGTCAATGATGACATTGAAGGGAGAAGGAGAAATTGCACAGCAAAGGCATCACAAAGTACACTTCAGACCACAACACTGATTGGACTGAATAGATGTTTAATTGCTTTCAACGGCAACATGGAATTGCTCTTTGATTCAAACTTTATTTGCGCTACATAAAAAACATGAAATTTAACCACAACGTAGGCAAGGGGTATCATGAATCTAAGTGAAAGTGTGACAAAAATAAATAGTTAGTTACACACACACACACACCTGTATATGGAGTCATCTGGACACATTAGTAAACACAAGGCAAATAGGAGCTCTAAACATCCCTTTACAAAGTAAAAAGACTACATTCAAAGCACCATTTAAGTGACACTCATCAAGAGGGTCAGAAAGAAGGATGCAGGGCCAAGTACAGCACCCAGTGTATGATGCCAAGGTTTTCCAGCAACTGCAATCCATAATCCCTTTGTTATGTAAACAAAGATGTATTTATAGTGTGTTCCTGCATAGAGTAATTGGTGTGTAGATTACTCATTCTCTTTGTAAGAGGCCTTTTCACTAGACTGGCACATAAATTATTCACAACGCCAAACATAAGGCAACAAGATGCAGCTTGATGCTATTAAAAGAACGCTGACTTATGAAAATCCAAGAAAATATATTCAGGGAAAATAGTGAAGACCAACCAACTAATCAGGTTTCACCTTAAAAGAAAAAAAGAATTCACTAAGCTACGAAGACAATTTAGAACTGGCTTCATATATGTATATAAAAAAAAAACAAAACACAGAAAACCCACACAATTTTGTACAACGCAGCGTACATGCTTTTGGAAAACAAGAGACTGGATTGTGTAATCATTTATAGCAACATCTGCAATCATCTTTTCACTGTGCCGACTACATGATCAAATCTAACCAGTATTGGATTTTGCATTTTGAAAACCTTCAATTATGTTTTTAATCAGATTATATTTGAATAATTAAAAAAAAAATAAAAAATGACACACAACTGTGCGTGTTGTCTTCGTGCACACAAAGCCCTGTCCATGGATGTGGCAACAGATGAGATATGGATTAGCAGCTACGGTTTGGCACACACGCCTGCTTTGATGTGAGCTCCCGTGCTGACATACAGAGTAAAATGATCTCCAGCTCGTCTGGTAGAAAGGAAACTGTGCCGTAAGCCAATCAACTCAAACTATGTCACATAACAAGGGCGGGATCACCAGTGACAGAAACAATCTTGCTTAGCCAATGATATCTTGCTGAGGCGGAGCTAGAATTCATTCAGGAAATTTATCTGGGTTCACTCACTACTCGTGTGCCATTACACAGGAGAGACATAAACAGATACAATCACAGCCGTACACGTGAGGAATAAAACCGTACAGCGTAAGTGCAGCCAGCACTGGCCCCCACACCACACAATGCAGGAGACAAGTCTGATCTCCAAATATAAAAACAGGCAGGCACGGTAATAACAATGACATGTCCATGTTTGTTAATGCAGGATAAGATACGAAGCTCCTTACTTTTATAGTATTACAAATATATCATTCCAAACTTCAACAAACATGGCTCTCTTTTACATAAACACATCACACAACAATGTGACACACATGGCTAAAGTCATAACGTAGTAAAAAACAAAGTGAATCTATTAAATATGGCCAATATTAGGCGAACGTCATTTTATGATACAAATAATATGGCACGGTCCTATTGATTTATAATGTTTGTATGATGAAAAGCATAATTCCACAATTTGCTGCATTATGCAGCTGAACCCTAGCACATATATTTAACACTTTACTCATCTGTCCATATTCTAAACACACAGCAATGTGGCTCTATGTCACAGATATGAAAGTAGTAAGTTTACACAAATCATTTCACCAAGTTCATTTGTGATTTATTTTCCTGAAGCAAAACATTGTGACTCCAGAGTTCTTTGTCAAAACAAAAAGGCACTTGTGGGAGAAATGCTACAAGTAGAAATTAAAGTTTACTGTGTCAAAAGTTCAAATATTTTAGGTGTCTCCAATCATTTAAAAAAACGGGAGTTGTAATAAATCAATTAGAGCAATAACAATGTGGGCTAGTTCACACCAGGAGGGGAGCACACGTGCTTTTCTGCGTGTTTTCGGGCAGCTGGGGGTTCCCCTCCAGCACAGTCTGCTCCCCCTCTTCTCAAGCCTCCATAGTAAGTGCTTGCTATGGGGGACACATGGACAAAGAAGGGAAGATAGCCTTGCTGCTGAGGAGAGAAGTGGATGTGAGAGTTTCCAAGTGATCCAAATAACAAACTTGCAGTGCCACCACTTACCAGCCCAGTGTATTAGTCTGTAGATAAATGTGGCTTCAGCCAACACCACTCTAGCCCACTCCCTGACTTTTTTGCCCAGGCCACCAGGGCTTGGTCAGAGGTCTGTGACCAAGCCCCCAGTGGGCAGGGTGAAACGTCAGGAGGCGTGGCTGGAGTGCTTCCAGTCATACAGTAACTGCCATCCACTTCATTGATGCTTCCTGTCATTCAGTAACTGCCATCCACTTCATTGATGCTTCCTGTCATTCAGTAACTGCCATCCACTTCATTGATGCTTCCAGTCATACAGTAACTGCCATCCACTTCATTGATGCTTCCTGTCATTCAGTAACTGCCATCCACTTCATTGATGCTTCCTGTCATTCAGTAACTGCCTGCCTGTACAAAGATATGAGCAGACAGATACACACAGACAGGCTGCAGGAGCCTGAGGTTGCAACTGCTGATCCTGGGTGCAGTTGTTTTACCTGCAAAAAGATGTGCATCTTCCCCCCCCCTTTTACAATGGTGAACTTATCCTTTAATGCTCGTGAGAGCACGTGTGATGACTTTGCATACCCAATCATGCACAAAGGCAACCTGGAGAAAACAAAAAAATAAAAAGAACACACAACTGGCTGACTGAATTATGCAGGCCATAGACAGGTCGTTTATTGGCCGAATTTTTGTCCGCACCAAAAATCGGCCGATATTCATGCCATTAGTGGGGCCAGCCCGTCGGCCGTTTTTCACGGATCTTCTTGTTTATTTTTATCGGTCATGCTGGAAAATCCACGACGAACGGGACATTGGTGACAGCATTGGCAATGGGGCTGACCGATAAACGGCCCGTCTAGGACCTGCATTACAGCTTTACCTTATTTTCTAATCTCAGGAATCTTACTAAATGAACAGCCTGTACTATAGTAAATCAACCCCATTGTCTCCCATCTTCTGAGTGTGCAATGGC